AAAATACAATAGACAATCAGAAGAATTAACAAATTGTCTTGGAAGAGATACATCCAGAAAGATTCTTGGAAACAAGGATGGATAGACTTTGTCTCACCTATTCTGGACATAGTATCAGTAGGGGACAGTCCCTGGTAAAGTAGAGCATCAGTCAAAAAGAGAAAGATTTTCATGGAATGGACTGACACAGTGGTTGCAACAGTGGATTCAAACATAACAATAATTGGGAAGATGGAACAGGACTGAGTCATTTTGAGTCAGAGCCAACTTGAAGAAGGCGCCTAACAACATAGTTTACTGCTAGTTATTTTTTTTAGAACAAACTTCCATGAGAGTTGTTGTTGTTGTTAAGTGCCATCTAGTTGATTCCAATCCAGAGTGACCCTGTACAGAGTTTCTAAGGTAAACTTGAACCACCAATCTTGCAGTTCAAATGACTTTGCAGCCTGATGCATTAGCCCACAGTGCCACACCAGGACTCCATGACAGTAGATCCCAGAAAATGAGGCATAAATATTGGCTTCATTTTCCAACTTCAGTTACCATTCCATAAACATCATGAAAGACACTGATTAAAAGTTCCAGTGCATTAGGGAGTCTTGGGAGAACATAAGAGAACCAAGTTAGGTTAAAATAAGTATGCATAATTTACAATTTACTTTAAAAAAAATGCAATTTGACAGAAGAAGTGGCATTCAAAAAAGTTCTGTATACAGGAACTCTTTTCAGGGATTGGTGATCGGCCAGTAAGCTTATTCTTCATCAACATAATTCTATTTACAAGAACAGATTAATATCCTATTGGCTGGAGTAACTTTTGTGTTGCCAGTAACATTATGACTTAAAACAAAAGAGTTAGAAGTGTGTGACTTTTAAGAAATGCACAACCACAGATACCTCTTTAATTCTCTGTGCCATTTTCACCTCATTTACTAAAGAACAGTGGCCCATGATGTTCAGGTCAGGGTAAAGCAGACTATAATCTAGGCCTCCTAAAATTTCTCTTTCTTTTTATCCTAGTCAAGGGCTTTATCTAAACCACTTTGCCTCCTGCTGTGAAAATGATTTATATTCTTAAAGGTTTGCTCCTAAGTGGGGAAAACCATAATAGTCAAATGTCAGTAATGGACTACTATTTGTACGCTCACACAGGCTGTTACCTATAAATTGCAGGACAGGTGAACTGTGTTTAATAATGTAATCCCAGGGCTGTAGGGCCACCACTGGGTCAGTTAAAAGCAGGCATAGTGGCAAGTTATGCATAGTGATAATATCTACCCCATTTACTGAGCAACTGGTTAGGCACATTGTCTCTGTCAGCTCCAATTCCTACCACCATTCTAAAGGGTAGGTATTAGCACCTCCTTGTTACATGGGATAAAAGCATGGCTCAGAAAGCTTAAGTAACCTTCTTAAGATCATGCAGTAACTGGATAAATCACCTTACCTCCCTGGAAGCTTGCAGAAGGTTCTATAGAGTTAGATTTTATCCAGTTTAACTTCATGATAGAAAGATCCTGGACAAATGATTTACCTCTCTGATCCTCAATTTCTTCATTTACAGAATGTGAAGTATATTGTCTACTCTTCAAAGGGTTCTTAAGACGATAAAATGAATGAACACAGGTAATGCTGCATACTGTATGTGCTCAAGAAATAGCAACTAAGGAGATAAGATGCCAATGGCTACATTTTCTTGTCTCCTTGAAAGTTTTATATCCCCAGGACTTTTGCTTGACTTATCCATATTTAAACTACTCAAATACTTACTCCTCAGTATATTATGCATTAAAATACTCAAAGTTTTGCTTTGTTTGCTTTCGCAGGAAAGGATGTGTCAGGAAAGACAGATACTGAAACACATCTTTCTACAAATCTGTGCCTCAAATTTTCTCAGTAACATTACATCCAGCATATCCAATTTTGCCAATATTCTGAGAAATCTTAACTATGTATTTACCCTTCTATTTAAAATATATATATATAACTTTACTATCATCTCCTGCCTTCAAGTACAAAACATTCCAGATTTTATTGCTACATTCATATTATGCATGTGAGTAATTCACGTACCTTTGTCAGTTCTTAGGAATACAGCCTTGTGCAAATGATTTATTTCAGGTCCACCTTGTTCTACTGACCTTACCCATGATCCAAATAGGTAGATGTTCTTTTGCAACTGACTTAGAGTATGCCAAATCTTTTGTAATATAACTGTTTCCTATAGGAAACATTTCAGTTCTAAATATGAGTTGCAAAGAATAGCTTTTACTCTGTCTGTTTAATACATTACTCCTAAGGTCTGCCAGTCCTCGTTCTTTTTCTCTGAATAATGTTTTGCAAACTAAAGAATAAAACTAAGTTATATAAACAATGGCCTATCATTCTTGGCATAATGCTCTGAATACTGGTTTTCCAAAATCACAGATTCATTTGATGCAATTTATATACTATATAATTTAGTACCTACTATGTGTCAAGTCTGGTGTGGTGCTGTGGGTTAATGCGCTAGACTGCTAAGTTGTTTTGCATAGTAGGTGGTTCAAGCTCACCAGTTGCTCCTTAGAAACCCTATAGAGGGTCACTATCAGCGGAAACCAATTCAACAGCACTTCACAACAACAATATGTCAACTATGGAGCCCTCGTGTGGAGCTGTAGGTTAATGTGCTGGACTACACAGTTGGTTTGAACCACAAGGTTAGTGGTTCAAGTTCACCAGCTGCTCCTTGAGAACTCTATACAGGGTTGCTATGGGTTGGAACTGATTCGATGGCACTTAACAACAACATGAGCCAGGTATATATGTCATATTTTTTCTTAAGATGGCCTCTAAATTCAGGTGGGACATACTCAAGGTCATACTTTGGCACCTGTGGACCTTTAAAAAATTTCTTCAGCTTCAACTTGAAATTGCATATGAACAAATTCTGCAGTTCTGAAGTCAGTCTCATGAACTTGCTCTGACAGAAAATATTGAGTTTTGACTAATGATAACTAGTTTCTTCATCTTGTGTGTCAACAGTAGTCAATTTAATTCTTGTGTATTCCAATGTCTGTGTGTATAGTCATTGTTTTATGTTGTTTAAAGAAAGAAGGTATTTCCAATGAATAAGTTGGTGGGCTTGCACAATTCTATCATGTGATTTTTTTGTATTATTTCTAACACCAAGACTTTATATTCCAACTACTTACCCATCATCTTCATTGTTTGGAACATTTACATGCCAATGGCTAGTAATTATTAATGAATCTTGATTGCGTATTTGATCAATTTCAGACTGTAGAAGTTTGCAAAGTCTTCAATTTCTTCTCTATGGGATGAATTTTTAACAGTATGAAGAAATTATCGAACAATATCACTAATATCACATGAAGTAAAGTTTTGCTGAAGATAATAAAGTTACAGAGTACACTGACGAGGAACTGCCAGGAATTTAAGGTGAATTAAGAGAAAGATATGGAATGAGGGATCTCATTGCTGATATCAGATGGATCTTGGCTGAGAGCAGAGAGTACCAGTAAGAAGCCTCCTTGTTGTGAAGTGCTGTTGAATCCATTCTGACTCATAGTGACACTGTATGGGGTTTCCAAGGAGCAGCTGGTGGGTTTGAAATGCTGAAATTGTGGTTAGCAGTCCAATGCGTATTTGAAAGCGCCACACTATGACTCCAGTAAGATGTCTACCTGCATTTCATTGACTACAAAAAGGCATTGGACTATATGGGTCATAACACATTCTGGATAACACTGCAATATATGAGAATTCCTGAACTCTTAATTGTGCTCTTGTGGAATCTGTACATAGACCAAGAGGCAGTCATTCAAACATACAATGGGATACTGCATGGTTCCAAATAAGAAAAGACATGTGTCAGGTCAGGGGTGTATATATATATTTATTCAATCTGCATACTGAGCCAATAATCTGAAAAGCCAGATGATACGAAGAACATGGCATCAGAATTGGGGGATGGCTAATTAACAACCTGCCATACACAGACAACACAAACCTAACTTTCTGAAAGCGAAGAAGATGTGTAATTGAAGATGACAGCCTTCAGTATGGATTACATTTCATTATAAAATAGAAAACAAAAATCCTCACAACTGGACCAATAAGCAACATGACAAATGCGGAAAAGGTTGAAGTTGTCAAGGATTTCATCTCAACTGTATGTGCAATCAACACCCATGGAAGCAGCATTTAAGAAATCAAACAACGTTCTACACTGAGCAAATCTGCTGCAAAAGACTTCTTTAAAGTGTTAAAGAGCGAAGATATCACTTTGAGCGCTAAGGTGTGTCTGACCTAAGCCATGGTATTTTCAATTGTCTCAAAAGTTGGACAATGTATAAGGAAGAGCAAAGAAGGACTCCAAGAGAATGAATAAATCTGTCTTAGAAGAAGAACAGCCAGATTATCCTTAAAAGTAAAGATGGTGAGACTTTGTACATGTTATCAAGAGGGGCCAGTCTCTGCAGAAGGACATCATGCTGGATAAAGTAGAGGGTCAGCGTTTTAGGAAAGACCCTCAACAAGATGGAATGACACAGTGGCTGCAACAATGGGCTCAGCGCTTAGTTCTGTTGGGCACAGAGCCACTAAGAGTCAGAACCAACTCACTGGCACCTAACAACACAACAATTCTCAAAGAGAACCTCTAAAATAGGTATCATTGTCCATATTTTCCAGATGAGAATATTAAAACATACAATGAATTCTCCAAAATCACTATTGTAAATAACAGAGCCAGAACCCAAAGCCATGATTACGTGACTTCAAAACCAACTGTAAAATTAATATATACATACAAGATATATAGTTAGAAAAAAAGGTTCTCCCAAATAGAAGTTTCAAAACTTAACACAAACGTTTCTTTGATCATTTTATCAAAGTACCAAGTGAAAAGCCCAGTATACCAACATGACTTTGGTCTTCCCTTAGGAAAATGAACACTTTGTTAATTACATCACAGAAGACCAACTGGGGAGTCATACCTATTTCAACATAACGACTTGGCAAGTCTCTCATTTCACTGGCATGCCGTTCCTTCACCGAACATATCTGGAAAACAAATTCACAGGTAATTTTAATCATTGGATGGCAAATTTTCCCTCATACTTTAATACATGATACTTTTGTTAAATTAACCATTTAGCATGAAAGGTGGAGTGTGTATTTTCTATCATGTGATTCTTTCATGAGAAATTCATTCAAACGACATATAGCCTTCATTATTTACATTCTCTAACATTCTTCCTCAATAAAATCTTACTCAAGGGCAAAGAATAAAAGGAAACTATAACATATTTTTAAGAGGTTTCCAATGACCCATTGTCTTTACCACTTAAGATTTTAAGGGTTTTCATCATCTTCCCGATACAGTTCTAGCAGAAGTGCATAACCAACAATTCCCAAGGGCTAATCGGAACAATGCTCACATTAAATCTGTGTTTCTGATTAGATATTGGAATATGATTTCACTGTTGCTAAACACGAGTTTGTAAAACTGGCACAAGTACTTCTTATCTTGAGTATCTGACAATCAATTCATTATAAAAAAATAAGCCCATTGCTGTTGAGTTGTGTCTGACTCACATCAACCCTATAGGGCAGAATAGAAGCGCCTCAGACAGGCTTTCCAAGGCTATGGCCTTTAGGGAAGCAGGCTGCCACATCTTTCGCCCATGGAGCGGCGTGCGAGTTGGAACTGCTCACCTTTCAGTTAGCAGTTGAGCTCTGGACCACTGCATTACCTCAGGGGTGGGACATTTCACAATCTCAGCTGATGGTTTATTTTACTATGACCAATAAACTAAGAATCCTTTTTTAAAGGATTATAATAAGGGGGAGGGGGAAGAAAGAACGGGAGTGAAAGATAAGAAGAAAATTAAGATATAAAAAGAAAAAGCTAAGTTTGCAGCAGATAAGAGTATTGTGGACTATGATGCCTAAGTTTTGTTTTGTTTTACTATTATCAGGACTTCTAGTAAAAAAAAAAAATGTGCCAAGCTCTATTTTAAATTATAACCACACAAAAAATATTTGGGCAAAAATATATTTATCTTAAGTTAAGAGTGTACAGGGGGGCAAGGTAGAATCCCCACTGAACAGTTTTCATCTGGAGTAGATGGGTCTGGTGAAAAGAGATAGGGAAAAGATTCTTATGATTCAATAGTGAGCAACTGTTATCATGTCTAATTGCAACTGTCACAACTGTTAAGGTAGAAGCTCTGTAACAAAAAGGAGTAGAGAATCTTATAGTCCAGGAACAGAGGACCCTAGGACCATCAGGGGACCCTAGGACCATCCGCACGAGCGGAATGCGGGACCTTATCCAGAGAAGCAGCGACACCAGAGATAGGGGCATGGTGAGGAGGAGTGGCTGAGGACTCTAGACTCAGAAAGAGAAAGGCTGTGTGCTGGTGGCCAGGACGCAGGCTTGCAGAATGTGCCCTTTGATGGTTTAAATAATTATATTTTCCTGAATGTTTCTGTGTACATCCCTCTGCAAAGAAAACAAACAAACAAACCCGAAAAACAAATATATATTTATCTACCACTCAGAACGCACATACCACATATATTAACCATGGTTACTTATGGGTGTTGAGCAAATACTTTCTATTTGCTTTACTTTCCAGCATGACCACGTGATGGGGCTTTAAGAAGGACATGGAGAAATCCCATTACCTTTCTATTCTGTTTTTCCATGAACTTTTTGAAGCACCATTGTATTCTATTTTTTGTAATATGATGTGGAAAAAAAAGTTACCTAAGTGCAGCTACCAAGGTATCACTAAAGTTAGAACCATATACTGATTGATCCTATAAAACATTCACCAGTGATCAGAAATTTTTATCTCTTCTTCTTTTAGAATATTTTTACTGTATTCTCTCTAACAGCTACACTATGCGTGATTTGTTGTTGCTAATTGCCTTTGAGTTTGCTCTGACTTTGGGAGATTTAATGCATAAAGGGAATCATGTGTTGCATACTCCTGTGTTGTTCTCACAAGCACTGGTGTGTCTGAGTTCACTATATTGTTGCTGTTGTTAAGTGCCGTTCCGACTCACAGAGGCACTGAACAGGGTTTTAGAGGAGCAGTTGGTAGGTTTGAACCGTTAACTTTGCAGTTAGCAGTCCTGTGCTTATCATACAGCGCCATACCAGGGAGTCTATAAGAAATTTTTACAAAATAGAAAAAAGGAAAAAGGAAACATCACCCATAGTTCCAGCACAAAGAGAACACCACTGTTAAACCTGAAAAAGTTCTGGAACTGTGCTGCAGGTTAATGCACTGGACTGCAAGGGCGGTGGTTCAACCTCCCCAGTCACTCCTTGGAAACCCTATACAGGGTCGCTATGAATTTGAACCGACTCGATGGCACTTAACAACAACTTTTTTTTTTTTTTAACCTAACAGATTACTACAAGTGGTTTATTATTTAAATATTTACTGTAACGTAACTTTGTGTTATCTTTATAGTATTTAATTACATAAATGTGCTATATTGAATCCATTCCTTTTTAGGATATTACATTGTTATTTTCTATCTTTAGTATAAGCAATAGTGCAATCAATGTACTTTTACTAAACCTTTGGACTTTCATTTCCTTTGAACAGGGTCTTACTAGAAATAATAGCACAATGGGAATACATTCTTACAAGGTTTTTGTTTTACTTCTTCGTTTAATATACACGTTCAAATTGCTTTCACCAATACAGTGACATCAGAGCCCTCGCTGTCTCTAACTCAGGACCTGGATCCATGTCTCTAGAGGTATAAGCATCACTTAGAAGTGACTGCTAAGGAGCACTGGTAGCGTAGTGGTTACGAGTCGGGCTGCTAATCTCAAGGTTGGCAGTTCAAAACTACCAGCTGTTCTGGAGGAGAAAGGTGAGGCTTTCTGCTCCCGTAAAGACTGACAGCATTGGAAACCCAATGCATGGGACACTGTGAGTCAGAATCAACTCAGGGCACAGAACCACCACCACCAGAAGGGAGTGCTATCTTCTCCCGGTGACTGCTTCTTGCCACTATCTCTTGTCCATCTCATACCATGTCACCACATTCCACTTGTCCCAATTACTTTCTTCTTTCCAGAGGTTTTTTTTCTTGTAATTATCTACTCTTCTTTCACCACTTACCCGTTGTTTTTGTTGTCAGGTGCCATCAAGTCGGTTCTGACTCATAGCGACCTATGTACAACAAAGCAGAACACTGTCCGGTCCTGTATGCCATCCCCACAATTACTAAGCTTGAACTCACTGCTGCTGCAACTCTGTTGATGCATCTCACTAGGGGTCTTCCCTCTTCATTAACCGTCCACTTTACCAAGCATGATGACCATCTCCAGGAGCTGGTTCCACCTGATAACATGTCTGAAGTGTGAGAAATAAAGTCTCACTATCCTGGCTTCTAAGGATCACTCTGGCTGTACGTCTTTCAACATAGATCTGTTTGTTCTTCTGACATTCCATGGCACTTTCAATATTCTTCTCCAACACCACAACTCAAATGCATCTATTCTTTTAAAGTCTTCCTTATTCAATGTACAACTTTCACTAGCATATGAGGTTATTGAAAATTCCATGGGTTGGGTTAAGTCATCTTAGTCCTCAAACTGACATCTACACTCTTTAACACTTTAAAGAGGACTTATGCAGATTTGACCAATGCAACACATCATTTGATTTTTTGACAGTTGTTTCCAAAGTGTTGATGGTTGACCCAAGTAAAATGAAGTCCCTGACAACTTCAATCTTTTCTCTATTTATCATGATGTTATTTATTGGTCCACTTGTGAGGATTTTTGTTTTCTTTACATTAAGGAGTAATCCATACTGAAGGCTGATGTCTTTGATCTTCATTAGTAAGTATTTTGAGTCTTCTTTGCTTCCAGCAAGCAAGGTTGTATTATCTGCATATCTCAGGTTGTTAAAGAGTCTTCCTCCAATCCTGATGCCACCTTCCCCGATTATTTACTCAACATACAGATTGAAAATGAATTACGAAAAAGAACAACCCTGGGGCAACCTTTCCTGATTTTAAACCATTCAGTATTTTCTTATTCTGTTGGAATGACTGTTTCTTGGTCTATATACAGGTTCCTCATGAACACAATTAAGTGTTCTGGAATACTCATTATTCACAATGTTCTCCATAACTTCTCATGATCCACACAGTTGAAAGCCTTTGCATAGTCAATAATGTACAAGTAAACATCTTTCTGGTATTCTGTGCTTTTAGCCAAGATCCACCTTATGTCAACAATAATAATCCGAGTTCCACACCCTCGTCTGAATCCAGCTTGAATTTCTGGCAGTTCTCTTGTCAATTTTACTAAATTGTATTTAGTAAAATTTTATTTTTATGTGATATTAATGATACTGTTCAATGATTTCCGCATTCCTAAGGGTCTCCTCTCTTTGGAATGTGCATAAATATGGATCTCTTCCAACTGGTTGGTCATGTAACTGCCTTTCAAATGTCTTGGCATTGATGAGTGAGCACCTCCAGTATTGCTTGGTGGTTGTGGTTGGTGGTGATGTGCCGCGGAGTCGGTTCCAACTCATAGCGACCCTGTAACAGGGTTTCCGAGGCTGTAAATCTTTACAGGAGCAGAAAGCCTTATCTTTCTCCTGCGGATCAGCTGGTAGTTTCGAACTGCTGACCTTAAGGTTTGCAGCCCGATTTGTAACCACTACGCTACCAGAGCTACTTCCAGTACTGCTTAAGCGTGTTGAAATATTTGTTTGTATTGTCAATACCTGGAGTCTTTTTGCCAATGCCTTCAGTGCCGCTTGGACGTCTTCCTCCGGCACTATCAGCTCTAGCTCATCGACGGCCTCTTGCAATGGTGGGTGCACAGGGACTACTTCTTTTTGGTACAGTGACTTTGTATATAACGCCCATCTTCTTTTGATGGTTTCACCATCATTTTGCATTTTGCCCATTGTTGTTGTTGTTATGTGCTGTGGAGTCGGTTATTTTGCCCATAGACTCCTTCGATATTTCAAGTCAAGGTTTGAATTCTCCTTCAGTTCTTTCAGCTTGAG